GAGAGAGAGAGAGAGAGAGAGAGAGAGAGAGAGAGAGAGAGAGAGAGAGTGACAGAGAGACAGACAGACAGACAGACAGAGAATGACAGACAGATAGAGGGAAAACACGAGTCATTACCGGGAAATAAACAGCAAAAACAATGAAAATATAACTTTCGACAGTACAATTACTTCTTAGGATCATAATAAACACCGAATCAGCGATATATGCATGGTTGCGTCCATTCCACCTTGTCATTCACTAATAACGAACAGCTATCAAACTCAAACTAAATCCGACTCAAGATCAAACTTAATTTACGGAATTTTAAGCATTCTGTGAAAATGTCAAGTAATTTTGCGTATCCCGCTTTGGTGTACACAACGATCGCACAGAAATAACAAGGGCTTTGTTTACCTACAGAGCGTCGTAGTTAATCACGTGTGTTTTGCATCTTTATCTTGCTCCGAGTGGCTCATCGGGAACCTTAATTAATGTCTTTGATGAAGGAACAAACTTTGCGATGCCGCTCGACCCTGCCCAGCCCTCGCTTTTTCTTTACTTTCTCTGAATCAAATAGGAATGGGTTTTATACATACATGCGTACAGATATTCATGCGTATATGTATGTATATAGATTATATATGTATATTCATGCATGCATGTATGTATGTATGTGTATATGAATGTACGAAAATATGTGTGTGTGTGTGTGTGTGTGTGTGTGTGTGTGTGTGTGTGTGTGTGTGTGTGTGTGTGTGTGTGTGTGTGTGTGTGTGTGTGTGTGTGTGTGTGTGTGTGTGTATGTGTGTGTGTGTGTGTGTGTGTGTGTGTGTGTGTGTGTGTGTGTGTGTGTGTGTGTGTGTGTGTATTATATGCAATGTATAGAGATAGTTTTACCCGAACCAGCTATACAGATTTTGCAGTAAAACAAAGCTAAATGCGCTGACTAAAACTACTACTCTCTCCTGCATAGGAAAAGGAAATTATAAATAATGGCACTAGTGATGAAATTGTGATGTAAATGAGTAAAGGTAACAGGAGTTAATGAACAAGGAATATTAAAATTTGTGTGGGCAGCTCCTGTTTTTTTTTTCTTCCTTTCTTATTTCCTTTACACTGACTGAACTTTCGATACAACATATTGTAAAATCTGCGTTAGATTCGTGGGCTGCGGTACACAATATGGTATAACCTGATTTATATTTGGGGGCCACGTTTTTTAAGCTCAGGCTGACCCATGGAGCTACAGCTGCAGTATATTTTTTGTATATTTCAAATTTACTCCCTAGATTCTAAATCTTGTTTCTGGAGATTTAATTTGGCTCAGAAAGTTAAGGAGAAGCTATGTATTCTGTATTAAGATGGCTTACTTATGTACAGCATTTGTTTCAAAAGGTCCACAATAATGCATGATGGTAAGAAGCTGTTGTGTTTATCTTAATATAGAATCTTGAAAACTTTTAATTTCAGAAGTTTCAAGCTAACACGTCATACTGACGATAAACAATTTTGTGTACTCTACCTATTCTGGATACAACACTGCAGAACCTAAGTACCTATTTGATATTCAGCGCCAGAAGCACCTATTATGCATGCAGTACTTAAAGTGTCTATGTTGTATGCAGTGCCTTAAGTGCCTATTTTGTATACAGTACAGCTTCTCTCTCTCTCTCTATCTATCTATCTATTTATCTATCTATCTATCTATCTATATTTATGTATCAAGTAACTTTCTATCTATCTATATATAAATATATATATATATATATATATATATATATATATATATATGTATATTGATGTTATTGTGATTGATGCATCGATTTCGAGTTGCTAGAAGTTATCAGCTCATCATTAGTGCAGATGACTATACAAGATCTACCAACAATCTAGAACGACCTAACAATCCAATGAATATTTGCCACTGAGGAATTGATAACGACTAAACATCTTTTAACGAACGATCTTCACAAACAACCATGAACCGTCTCCTGGTTCTCTCATTAACAAATGTTTTCATTTCCATTACCGGCTCGATTCATCATTTACAAGTATTAACCATATCACTAACAATCCTTCTCCGAATTGGTTACTATTGAATTTATTAACATCTGTTCCCACCACTAACGGCTATTCTCGTTACCAACAACCTAATTCTTTCTAAGCTGATGTCAGCCTCATTTGCTAACGTCTATGTTTAAACAAAATCGGAATTACTAAAGTGCATTTGTATTAACGACGCAGCTTATGACGTACAGCCATTAAGCATATCACTAACGTTTCAATTCGACACTAATGATCAGATTTATTATTGGTAATCAAACATCACCAGCCACCGATTTCATCCCTAACAAATCCTACCATCTCAAATAACCATTAAGCATGTCAGTGGCGGCCAATTTCACCACCAACAATTGTCAACACTCATTAGTTAACTAGCGACCTAGTTACAAGACTTACAACTTATTTTTCCACCAACGACCCAGTGCATGACTAACATCCTCCTCCTTCCTCCAG